TTTTGAAAGCGGGCGCCATTCTCGGAGGTTGCCCTCGTCCTCGATTTTGATGTGACCGCCCTCCACGACTGTACCTCCCCGATGGCGGTTGTAGAGTTTGCCTCATGGTCTGAGGGAGTGAGTGAGGGGGCCACACGCTTCGAGCCCCCTCAGGAGGAGGATTGAGCTCCTTCTATGCCGCCGTTGTGCCATGCATTTCCCTCGGGATTCGATGTAGTCGGTCTCCTCCTCCTCCTCCTCCTCCGTCTTTTCCTCGAGTTGAGTAGGCCATCCGTACTGCGTCCCTTCCTTCCTCCCTCTCCCTTGTCCCTTCTTCTCCTCGTCCACCCTTCGCGATAGAAATCCCATTCTGCGAAGTCGGTCAGTGAATTGTCCTCTTTCGGGTCTCGGGGGAGCGGTTCGGAAGTTTTTGTTCTGCGGGGTTGCGACGTGTTCGGGTCTGGCTCCCGTTCGCGCTCAAGACTGGAAGCTGAAGCATTTCCTTCCTCGAAGAGGAAATTGGATTGCAGCTAGCGTGGACCCCAAACAGTATGTTTGTAGCAGTATGTGTTGTGCAGCATACGAAGTGCAATCTATGTTTTGCAAAATAAGCGGTGCAATTCATGTGGTGCAGTATCTGTTGTGCCTTCAACGTGATGCAGTATATGTTGTGCAATCCACGTGGTGCAATCTGTGCGGTTAACCCTGTTATTATGAAAGCTACGTGGTGCAGTCTAAATGGCGCAGTCTATGTGGTGCAATAGTTGTTGTATTGTCTTTGTGGCAAGTGTTGTGAAACAATATGTTATGCACCCTACGTGTTGCAATTTTGGTTGTGCAGGCGGTGCAGTCTAAGAGGCGCAGCCTTTTGCGCAATCTATGCTGTGCATTCTATACGGTGCAACCTATGTGGCGCAATATATGTTGTGCCGCCTGCGTTCTTGTGCAGTGTTTTTTTTTGTCGCAGTGACTTGTCAGTTCGTGTTGCAAAATCTATGTGAGAAATTTGTGGAGGTTGCTAAACGAGTGCGCGCGCATGATACTCTGTTGCAAAGGGTGACGGGGAGTGCCGATACCGGCCCCGCAGCTGACCGAATGGGCCGCGCTGCCGCTCATACGCCACACGCAATATCGAGTTGGTCCAGGCGTGCCAGAGCGCCGGGCCTGCATTGGAATTGCGATAAGCACCGCCAGCATTAAATCGGGCCTGTCCCCCTGCAGGGGGAACATCCAAAAATAGCCAAAAAATAGTCTGGGGACAATTTGTTGTACCATTTGTGAATATGTTTGTGGCATGTTTGGTGCATTTTTATTTTTTGTCCAAAAGTCCCCCCGTAGGGGGACATGCCCGACCTAACGCCAGCCTCTTTGGACAGCGGAACAACAGGCGCGGCTGGCCAGTCGTGCGACAGCCTTGCCGGCGGAAAAGTAGGCGCCGCCGGCAGGCCCTTCGCGCCCAATTGTCACGCAGTGGCGAAGCGTCCTGGCTCGCCTATAGCCCTACCAAACAATGTTCTAGTAACCTTTTTTGTGGTTTCCAAGAAATGTTCTTAGAACATGTCTGGCGGAGTCTGTCCTGTTTTATCACATCGGGTTTGTGTTCTAACAACCTTGTGTTTGTTCTTCGGATATTGTAGTGGCCTCCGGCCAGTGCCGCCGATCCGGGGCGCTCCGCATTCGGCGGTCGCGTCGGAGGTTGTTGTCGTATCTGTCTCGTCTTTTGTTTCCCGTTCTGTGATTTCGCCTCTGAGGGGGGGTCGGAATCCGAGAGGGGGTCGGAATCCGAGAGGGGGGGTGGTCGGGGACCCCGGGGGGGAGGCGCGGGGAGGCGGGGGATTGCGAGGGGAAGCAACGTCGTCCTTGTCTTTTCCTCCTCCTTGTCCGCCTCTTCCTCCTCCTCTTTCTCCTCCTTCTCCCTCTCCTCCCACCTTCTCCTCCTGCCCCTCCTCCAACCTTCCTCTTCCATCCTCTGCTCCTCCTTCTCCTCCTTCGTCCTCCCCTATCTCCCCTCATACTTCTCGGCCTTCTTTTCTTGCTCCTCCCCCCCCCAATCCCGGCAAAGGGGGGAAAGAAAACGTGGACCCCATCACCCCCCCCCTCCCCCAGAGCCACCCCCCCCAAACCCGGGGGGGGAGGGGCCCAAACCCCGGGGGGGAAGAAACGTGGACCCCATCAACCCCCCCCCCCCAACCCCGGCAGAGGGGGGGAAAGAACGTAGACCCCATGAACCCCCCCTCCCCCCCCCAACCCCGGCAGAGCCACGCCGGCAACCCCCCCCACCCAACCCCGGCAGAGCCACCCGGGCGGCGTGGGGTCCCCGGGGGAGGGCCCAACCCCGGGGGTGGGAGGGGGGAGAAAACGTGGACCCCATCAAACCCCCTCCCCTCCCCCCCCAACCCCGGCAGAGGGGGCCCAACCCCGGGGGGGCGGGGGAAAGAAAACGTGGACCCCATCAGCGCCACTTCGGCAACTTGTGCACTTGCGGACTTGCATGTTGCTTCTAAGTAACTTGCGCTAAGTGCGTAGCGCGTACGTGCATAAGTCCTCGCTAAGTTCCGCTAAGTTATGCTAAGTGTTTGCTAAGTTCTGCTAAGTTGTTGCTAAGTTCTGCTTAGTAGTGCTATGTTTTGCGATGTGTTGATCAATTGCCCGATGAGGCCCCGATACCGTAGCCATTTTGGCCTCAAGCCGACGACATGGAACGGTCGAAAAGGCCCCGCGTGATCGAGTTGGTGCAATCTTTGGGCCTGGCGATTCCTCTGAGCGCGGTTGGGAAGGTAGCGCGTGAATTGCGCCGCCACGACGACGATGAGGACATCCCCTTGAACAACATTCCTGCAAAAGTGCAGAATTACATGTCGAGCATCGAGACTCCTTTTGGGCCCCTGGTCAAGCATTTGCACTTGCCCTTGAAAACTGGTGGTTATCTTGATTGGCCGATATGCTGTCCATTTGTTTTGTTATATTTCATGTGTAACAGAAGTTTCGCTTTCGGCGCGCTCCTTCGAGACCGCGTCGCGGGCGGACTGGCGAATATCGTTGCGTGGGCAGACGAAACGACGTCAGGCAACCAACAACGACCAGACATGAAACGCACTTTTCTATCGATGTACTGGTCAATCGCTGACCTACCAGAATTTTTCAGGAGCAGTGATCATGGATGGTGGCCCATCGGGGTTCTGTCGCACGATTCTTGTAAACATGTGGTTGGCGAGGTTTCTGGGATTATGAAACACGTTCTGCGTTTCATGTTTATGGGCCAGGATAAATTTGCCGCGGGCATTAGTTTCGACGTTTGCGGCGCGATGACAACGATCAGGGGGCGCCTCGCAGCCGTCTTGCAAGACGAAAAGGGGCATAAACAAGTTGGCTCTGTGAAGGGCGCATCGGGTGCAAAATGTTGTCTCATGTGCAAGAACGTTGTATCCACTGATGTCGGCCAACTCCAGAATAGCGATTATTGCGTTCACGTCACATCGCCAGATACAGCATCATTCATACTGCAAGACGACGCGTCTTTCTGGGAGATGTGCGATGAGCTGGTCCAGCGGAAGACAACGCAACGACCATCTGAGTTCAATCTGTCCCAACAGATTTTCGGCATATGCTACGACAAAGACGCTCTCCCATTCGACGTGCCCCTTCGGCGGTTTTACAAGCCAGTGTCATCCGTGTATTGGGACTGGATGCACATATACTAAACAAGTTCTGGGGTCATGCAATATCACATGAACGAGATGTGTTTGGACATGCAAGATCACGCGGCGGTGACCATGGCAACGCTGGACGAAATGATGGTTCGGTTCGTTACTTTCAACAAATCACAAGTGAGGTCGTTGGGAGACCGTTTCTTTCAAGGCCATGTGGTTCAAACGCGCGGAAAGCACATGAAAGGTTTTGCTAGCGATATGGTTACAGTGTTAGGTTTCTTGTTTTGGTTCTGTACGCGATATCTTCTGCCTGAAGGGAAGCTCGTGGAGCAGTGTCGCGCTATTTCTTTGGCCCACGAAATCACTGCACTTTTGCGGACTGGAGACGCAGCTGTCAGAAGAACGATTGAGCTAAAGAGCTTGGTTGCACGCTACCATCGGCTACTGCGAGATTTATATGCCACGAGCATTTTGAAAATCAAAGCGCACTTGCAGCATCACCTCCCGACTTGTTTGGAGACTGTGGGGTTCGGCTTATCTCGCCGGTCCAACGAACGGAGGAACAGGTTGCTGATCAAGGCTGGGCGGCATTACACGCACGCTGGCAGCAGCAAGTCCGAGTCATCAATGTCAATTTTGGTCCGCTTGATAATGGACTTGGAACATCGGCTCGAGACCTCTAGTTTTGCAAAAGACGAACTGATATTCCGCAAGGGAAACCCAGCAAAGCGAACGTCAGAATTCAACGAGTACCTTCCTGCTTGCATATCACCGACATCTGTTGTAACCGCGCTGAAAGCCAGGTGGGGGCACATGATATTACGGGCAGGCGACCTTGTTTTATTACAGGGGGAGGGCGAGGTCAAAGCTTTTGGGCTCGTTCAACTTTGCGCGCAGGGAACTGAACGCGACGCCCACGCGAACAGGATTTTGTTGGTGATCCATTTCTTGACCAGGTCTGCCCTCGATCACAAGTTGTACAGCCGCGCAGATCGCGCGGCGTTCGTGGACATCCAATGTGTACAAGCGATATATTTGCGCGTTGAGCACGATGACGGTTTCATTGAGCCCCTTTGGCCAGCTTGACGTGCACGCTATTATAAAAAAAACCCAAAGCGATGGGGAGGGGGGAGTAGGATGAGGAGAAGGAGGAGGAGGAGGAGGGCGAGAAGCTGGCCCCCCCCCCTTGTCACCCCACCCACCCCCTACTAGTTCTGCTTTGCCCCTACGACGACGACGGTTCATAGGCGGCTCTGCCCCTATGACAGCGACGACGGCCACCGACGATGTCACCCGCCTCCTCCTGCCCCCGAGCCCGCCCGCCACCGCCGCTATCCTCCTGCAACTCCTCCCCCATTTTTCTTTTGGTCGGAACGCGCGAGCGAACGTCCTGCCGACCAACTCTCCCGTCCCCATTTGGCTCAGATGAGGGCCGCAGAGGTGAGGGAGATCGCCGATGGCGTCGATTTCGGCCCGGCGTCGCTGGGGCCAATAGCTGTGATCACAGAAGGGCTCGCTGGGAACACGGGCACGGTCACGGCCGAGCAGAGGGCCAGGATACTGCAGCAACACAACTGCCTCGCTCGCACTCGCGGCCGCAAGAGGTATCCAGAACGAGAGCTCCTGGTGATCGGACGCGTGGACCGCTTGCGGCAGGCGCACGAGGCTGCGTCGGTGTGCCTTCGCGGCGAAAGCGAGGCCAGGATCGCATCCGTTCCAGAGAGTGCGCCGCCGCGGCGGCCGCGCCAGGAACCGCGGCCGCCGCCGTGCCCGCCGCCCTGCAAGGCCCCAGAACCGCCCGACCCGAGCAGCCTCCCGCCAGCCGAGATCCCGCAGCACGACTCCTGGACGAAGAACGCCTCGGAGCTGCTCGACTCAGGCGCCAATGCGCTGCTCGCTCTCGCCCCCGCGTGCTCTCTGAAGATTGGTTGAGGGAGGGTAGGTTGGAGGCAGGAGTGGAAGCAGGGTCCCCCAGCCCCACTCTGAGACCATCAGTTTCTAGCGCAAGCCAGAGGCCCCAGGCGGGGGCGGAATGTTCTTCTCAGAACCTTAGATGGCCCCCCGCGCCCCCCGCAGGCAACGGCTCCAACGACGGCCCCGAGTGCTACCCCGGCCCAGCGCAGTTGCAGGACAGCCTTTCTGCGCAACCTCTCCTCCTTGAGCCATGCAGCAGCTTTCCATGTCCTCCTCCTGCCATCATCACTCCCAATACACTCCGACCTTCGCGTTGCGCATCCTCCTCCTCCGCGGGCCCTCCAGAGCCCCTGCAGAAATGTGGATGCGACTTCCCCTTGGGCCAGAGCCTCCTCCCAAGGGGAGGTCGCGCTCAATTTCTGGGCCAGCCTTCTCCCTGTGTCGCTGCCTGCTTGTCTGTTTGTCTGTATGTCTGCCTCTCGGTATGTATTTTGTATGTGTGTCTGTTTGTCTGTCTATAATCCGTGCTCGCACGCGCATGCAGTCGGGCGGGACGGGCGTCTTCTGGCCACCGGAAAACCGACCGCTCAAGCCCCAAAGTGGCCAACTTTGTCTGTCTGTCTGTCTGGCTCATTTTTTGTTGTGCTGAGTTATCTCTCTCTTTCAATATATGTGTATTATCAGACGCACCTCTCCGAAGGAGTAGAGCTCAGAGGCGATTAATGCGCACGCGTCGTCCGCGATTTTTCTGGGCGTTTCGCTCGGGCATCCTCGCAATTCTGAAAATCGGTGGCACCCCTCACGCAGATCGTGACGCCAGGGTCCAAAAGCACATGGGAATTTCAACATGCCAACATAAAAAACTTCAAAAACACATGGCACTGTCAATAATTGCGACCCCGATTCTCAGAGAATTGCGGTTTCGCTTGAAAAATCCTTCCAACATCGAGCCCCAGTCCATGCCTCGGAGCCTCCTGGGGGCCTGCTGGAACCTCCTGGGGCCTCCTGGGGCGTTCTGAACCTTCTGGCACTCCAGACCCCGCCTCGGAGCCTCCTGGGGGTCTCCTGAAACCTCCTGGGGCCTCCTGGGGCCTCCTGCTGCCTCCTGGAGCCTCTTGGGGCCTCCTGAAGCCTCCTGGGGTCTCCTGGGGCCTCCTGAGGCCGCCTGGGGCCTCCTGGGGCCTCCTGGGGCTTCAGAACTACATGCGCACAGAGACGCAACTCACGCCCAACACATCACACGCTAGACAAACACACACACACACACACAACACCTACAACACACAAAAAGCACGCACCACACAAGCACACATCACACACAACACTCACAATCCTGGGGCCTCCTGGAGCCCCTTCTGGTATCCAAGTCGGGCCTCCTGAGGCTTCCTGGGGGGGCCCTGGTACACGCGTCGCAAGGTGTGGCATCCTCACTTGCGCTCGAGTGCGACTTCGCTGTTGCATTTCACTCCTGCTTCAAACGCCCCTTCATTTTTGTTGTGCGAGCCTGGGCACACACGTGCCACTTGTATACATATATATATATATATATATATATATATGTATACATCTCGGCCTTCCCGCGTCCGTTGCCTCCTCCACGCCAGACTGACTCGGACACGGAGGTGGACTCGCCCAAGGAGCCGCTGGCGACGGACAGGACGCGCCGCCCGCTCCGACGAGGGAAGCGGCGAGGACAACGTCGAAACAACAGCGACGACGACGACGGCGGTGAAGGCGGTGACCACGATTTCCGAATCTGCGACGACAATAACGACGACGACGGCGACGACGACGACAATGACGATAACGACGATGGTGGCGGCGACGAGTACGACAGCGACGATGGCGGCGATGAGTTTCCTACTATCTCACAGGAAGCCCCACCCCCGACGACGACCACGAGAATGGTGACGGCACGACGAGAGTGACGACGACGGCAACATCGTCGACGTTGTTCGCCTCTGCCCCCGCGTCCTCCTCCACCTCCAGCGTTCCCTCCTCCGCTTCTACCTCCTCCACATCCACCTCCTCCGCCCGTCATTTCCACCCATTCCTCCGCTATTTTTTCTTGAGTTCTCACCTCAGTCTCAAGAGACTGCCACGGAGGCGCTGCCCCGCGGAGCCACCGCCTCCTCCACCCTTCATGTCCACCCATTGCTCCGCCATTTTTTCTCGAAACCTCATCTCAGTCTCAAGAGACTGCCACGGAGGCGCTGCCCCGCAGAGATACCGCACGCGCGCGCGAGCCCTTGCAAGCAAGCTATGTCCGAGGCGGCAGAGACGGCAGGACAGACGGCAGCTGCCCTGTCCGAGGCGGCAGAGACCCCGATGAAATGCGACAAGTGTGCGAAGACCGATTGCGAGAAGTACACATTGGTGAACAAGTCCCTCGTCGAGACGCGCAATCGGAGGCCCATCTGGCGCCGCTCGCATTGCAACAACGCGGGCAACCACCTCGCGACCCTCAAGCAGAGCAACCCAGAGTTGTTCGAAGGGTTCGCGGTCATGACGCGCGAGGCGAAGCAGGAGTTCATGGCGAGGTGCAAGGGGATGGCGCTGGCTGACGTGAAGAAGGAGCTCAGCGAGAGGATCACTTCGACGTCCCACGCCGAGGTGGGTCACGAGTTCTCGGAGGAGCCAGAGGCGATGTCTGTCAAGGAAGCTGCAGAGCTGCCAATGTTCAAGCACCATCCAGAAGGTCTGCAGAAGCTCCTGGACAGCCCAGGGATGGCGTTCACCTGCCGCCACACAGGCATTGAGATGGTGTACGTGCCGAAGTTCAAGAAGAAGTACAAGGAGGAGGTAACCCGCCAGACTACCCACGTCCAGAGCGCGCGGGCGGAGGTCGGCATCCCGAAGGCCAAGGCGAAGCCGAGCGCAACGCATCCCAAGGTGGTGTCCAGGGTCAAGGCGCTTCCTGTGCGCCTCAAGATCAAAGCGGATGGGTTCATCGGCGAGGCGAGGCAGAATGCCGATTTGCTCATGAGGTTGGTCGTGAAGGCCCGCACCAACGAAGGCAAGGAGTACGTCGCGCCGGCGGTCGCTACCAGGGCCGGAGGCGCGGCAGCCGCTGTCGTGACCTTGCGCGACGCGCTGGAACCCGTGGTGCAGGAGAACGCCTTCGACAAGAAGGAGCACGTGGAGAACTCGCTGCAGAAGTTGAGCGACTCCATGGACGTGGTCACGGACCACGCGACTAAGCTTGCGGGTTCAGACCCTTTCAATTCCATCTCGCCCCCGTTGGCCCCACCCCCCCTTTCGGCGGGAGGAGCGGGAGATCCCGCGGAGGGGGGGGGGGGGGAGAGGAGGGGGGAGGGAGGAGGAGGGAGGAGCTGAGGAAGGGCATCGAGGACGGAGTTGACGCGGGGAGGATGAAGAGAGGGAGGATGGATGATAGCAGTCCTGCCGCCAGGTTTGCTCGAGGACATCATTCCGCTCACGCTGGAGAGCCAGGCTGCGCCAGAGGAGTCGGGCGCAAACGGCGGCATTGATGAGTTGCTCGAGAATGCTTTCGCAGAGGGTGAGGCGGCAGCTTCAGAGAAGGAGGCTGGCTCGGATGTTGCTTCGGGAAGCGCGTCGGCGGCTGGCGGCAGTGACGAGAAACGCAGGCTCTCCGGCAAGGCGGTTTCGGAGCCCACAGCAGACGAGGAGACGGACAAGGCCGTGCACAGCGGCAAGGGCAAGGGCAAGGGCAAGAACAAGAAACGCAAGTCGAAGTGAGCTCAGCAACGGAAGTGAGGGCGCCGATGCTTGTGCAGGTGCCACGTGCGCAGGGAGTGCATCGGCGCCACGCGTGCCTGCGCAGTGCAGCAACAACATTCATCTTCCCAACCCTCCTCCGAACCGTCCATAACCATCCAAATTATCCTCCGAGCCATACATAACCATCCTCCCAACCACCCATAGTCATCCGAACAACCATCCACCCAACCATCCATGACCATCCAGAAACCATCCGCCAGCCATCCACCAACCATCCACCAACATCTAAAAACCATCCACCAACCATCCACCAACCATCCAAAAAACCATCCTTCAACCATCCACCAACCATCCAAATAACCATCCAAATAACCATCCTCTCGTTTCTTATTAAAACAATAAGAAAACCAATAACCATCCCAAAAACCATCCACCAACCATCCGCCAACCATCCAAAAACCATCCACATACCATCCGCCAACCATCCACCAACCATCCACAAACCATCCAAAAACCATAGCCCAACCATCAACCAACCATCCACAAACCATCCGCCAAACATCCACAACCATCCACCCATCCATCATCCAACCAACCACTCAAGGGAGGCGCTGCCCCCACTCCGAGGGAGGCACTGCCCCCTCGGAGGAGCAATGGGAGCAATGCAGAGAGCGTGCACATGAATCGCGAGCACATCTCGAACTATGGAAAACAAAAACCGACCACTTTGGGACGAAAATGATCGCTTTTTTTCCGAGAGAAGAGAAGGGGGGCGAGGGGGGGAAAGAAGGGGGGCATGTGGGAGTGGAGGGGGGAGAGGAGGATGAGGGGGAACACGATAAGGACGAGGGATGAGGGGGGTGGACGAGGACGAGGAGCAACGCCGCAACAGGGGCGGGGGGAGGGGGGAGGGGGGTGGACGAGGACGAGGACGAGAAACATGATAAGGAGGAGGGAGGAGGGGGGTGGACGAGGACGAGGGCGAGGACGAGGATGTGATTGCACAGGGGCTGAGCTTGCTCTTGTACGCGCTGGGAGGACGCTGGAGCAGGCGCTGGACGAGCAGAAGGGTGCGCCGACAGTCCTGGGGCCGCTCTGAGGCGTCGCCGCCGCGGGCAGCGACGATGAGCGACGACGGGCGTGACGGACGACAAGCGACGAAGTGAAGCGAGGAGGAGGAGCAGGAGGAAGCGGAGGAGGAGGAGGAGGAGAAGGAAGAGGAGGAGGGGGAGGAGGAGGAGGAGGATAAGGATAAGGATAAGGATAGAGGATTAGGAGGAGGATGGGGGAGGGGGGGATTGAGGAGGAGGAGGAGAAGGAGGAGGAGGAGGAAGAGGAGGAGGAGGAGGAGGAGGAGGAGAATGAGGAGG